TGTAGTGGACTAAGCCTACGTCGAAACCCAGTCTAAGGTCAAAACTCTTGACCTTTAGAACCTTGTGGGACAGAAGCTGTCATTTCATGTATTTGACTCCATAAATACAGGTTCACCCATCCTGAGACTTTCTTTCTTGAAGATTCAAGTGAAAAGAACACTCTCTTTTTATTATCATTACTATCTTACAAATGTTGATAATCAAAGTGTCTTAGTTCAAACCATTTTAGATGTTGCAGTGAACTAATCAATTTTATTAACTGAGTAATGATTTTATTCTCATGTTAAAAGCTGTGCAGAGTAATTATGCATTTTTCTGATTTCTGCTTTTGAATGAGCAAGTGTGTGCGTTTACAAGGTTACAGTCAAACGAAAAACAAGTTGTTATGTTAAAACTGTCATGTTTTAGAATCCTCTCAGACGTAAATAGAGATGTTTTGCACCTGTTTCTTAAGGCACGCCAAAACAGAACCCTCTCGGTCTGTGAGAACATTTCTGAGCTGTCTCATAACAATTCTCGCTGTCTCTAACCTCTTACGTCACAAAAACACACCCCTTCTGGTCGTTTCTGACCAATGAAAAATCCCAAAAAGTGAACCGGGAAAGAGTCTTTAAAATGTCAGTACTTCCTGGTCTACACAGACTCTACAGAGACTCACAGGGACACGGAGAGACACACAGGTACTCAGAGTTGGAGAGTTGTCAGACTTCTAGAGTTCTGGAGTTCTGATGGAGTGCTGTTGGAGTTCCTGACATGACAACGAAGCTCTTCCGAGTTCCATGGGATTATAACATTTTCCACTGAGGTGAGCTGTGGCTGACAGAACCTCGCAGCTACTCCGGACGAGTAACAGCATCCTACGGAGACGCTGAAAGGGTGCGTTAAACGGAATCTCGCCTGAGACATCTCCAGGTAAAAGAGTCGTTTTCACCACCTAAGTGTACTGTGAGGAAAAGCTGAAGAAAGCCCGGAGAGTGCCGTTCTGTTCAACACTCTACCTCAAACACCATCTTTCTCCCCTTTAAACTTCATCTTTCATCTTAAACTTTTCTATCAAGTAGAAATTCTCCCAGATATTTAGAAATGTCTGTGTAAAGTGCTTACCCACATTCATGTGGGTAAAAGATCATAGTTGTACAGTTATAAATGTCTGTTGGTGCAGCAACGGAGAAATCATGGCCGTATGATTTTTCCTGATTGATTGCTTTGTTGTTATTTTCATAATTTGCCAAATTAATGTAAATGTTTGATGTTAAATTTGATTCTGTAAATAAATGACCGCATTCATTTTGATGGGTCAAATTTAAATGACGTCTCACGTTTGCATTTCCTTAAATTCAATGCACGTTTTATTCAGTCCAGAAAAATGAGGAACTCGCGTTAAATGATGAATATATCCCAGCATCTGTTCATCTACAAATTGGTGACCCCGACGTGATTGTAAATGGACTGTAACTAGTGTGCTAATTGATTTTCATGTTGGCATGTGTTATAAAATAACAGTTGAACCGTGCGTCTTTACGCAATTGGAGCTGCGCGCTTGTGTTACGCTGGCAATGTTTTGAAAGCTGAATTTGTGTCATTGAGTCTTTATAAAGCTGAATTGTACGTCTGTATGTGTAACTTAAGCTGGCTTTGAGCTGTGGAAACGCTTTATTCTGTTTAAACTGTGTTCTAACGCTGTTCTGGTCCGATTCGGTTCTGGTTCCGACTCGGTTCTGGAGCTTCGAACGAGTTGTTTTAAATAGCTAGAAAGACGTTTTGTCACGGAGCGCCGTTCTCTGTGCAGCCCAGGGGGTTGTTTCGTTACAATTTTTAACAGAAAAAGTGCATTTTGATGGTTTAAAAGACGAAAAAGTGACGAACTATTTTACGCTAATCTAACTTGCTAGCTGGGGAATACGCTTCGTGGTTGGTTGTTTGCTGCTTTGGAAAGCTCTGATTTGCTGAGAAAGGTTGACTGACGTCACCTCCCCTCACCCCTACGCTGCGTCATTGGTTGAGAAAGACCGTGTGTAACGTTCTGATTGGATGAGGGAAGTGTCAATCACGCCACCCGGAAATGAAATTCGTTTTCATAGGGAATAAAATCTGCTTTTTAACGCTGGAAAGCGCATTAAAGCTGTGTTCTGAAACGCTGTTTACATTCATTCGAAGCATATTCGCTGAAAGTTCGCCACGTTTGAGTTTAAAGACCGTCATAAAATGATGCTTTTGAACTACGCTAGCGATGCTAAATTTTAAGCTAACAAGCTAATGACCGGATGGATGACGTGTCACGTCACTTCCCCCAAGTCGGAAATGAGCTTTACCGTGCTTAAATTCTCTAAATACGGCTGCATTTTTGTTCCACAAAACTCATGTTTCATGATATAAGGTCTGATTGAAAAAATTTTGCCACGTTTGTGTAAAAAATCCGTTCAGAAGTGTTGGTTTTCACCGAAGCGAGCCGATGCTAATTTTAGCTAACAAGCTAACGACCGGACGCCACAGGAAGTTATAGCGCCCCTAGTGGACGACACAAACAGTGCCTGAGTTAAAATTGTTGAGGATCTGCTGACATCTTGTGGAGAAGACGTGGGACCACAGGTTTTCACTTCGTTTTTAGGTTAAGAGTGACATTTAACGTTTTTATTTTTTCTGAAAGGCATTTTTGAGTTAAAAAACTTCCTCAAAGCTGAATATACACTGTTATCTTGCGTTTTAAAAGTTATCAAGGTATTTATGCTGAGAGCTTTTGCCAAACAAATTTTTATTCACTGATAAATCCTTGAAAAATAGGTACATAATAAGAATTTAGAAACTTTTAAATAAGATACAGTTACAAATATTCACAGAGTTGAATAGTTTACTCATTTTGCTAGAAGATAACGCACGTTTAAATGATAAATCACTAAATAAGAGTAAAGCTTATCAGGAAAAGGAGATTTTCTGATTTTATTTTACCACCTAAACATTTACATCTACTATTTAATTTCTAAATAGCAGATAATGGCGGACGAAGAGGTAAACACTGACCCCTTACAATCCGAGGATGTGGTCCAGACAGCCTTACACATTTTGACAAATTCAATTCTTGGCAAAACTTTGGAGGACTTGCAAGTCCTTGATGACGATCAAAGACATGAGGAGCTGCAGAGTTTATCAAGAGCAGCTACAGTGAAGGAGGACGCAAAATCAGGCCGCGTACGGTTAGCAAAAATCTCTCTGCTTCTGAAGGCGGAATTAGACCGTTTGGTAGTGGAAAAGGGCGTGCTTTTCAACGGATATAGGTCTGAAAAAGAGAGGTGTGACGAATTGATGAGTGAATCTGAGTTGCTGAAACAAAAGATTCAAACTGATAAGGACCTCTCAAAGAGAGAGCTGTCAGAACAGGCTCAATCATATGAGGAGAAGTGTGCCGAGCTGATAAGTGAATCTGAGTTGCTGAAACAAAAGATTCAAACTGATAAGGACCTCTCAAAGAGAGAGCTGTCAGAACAGGCTCGATCATATGGGGAGAAGATTGCGGATAAGGAACGAGCGTACCAAGACGCGTGTGCAGATAACGATGAGTTACAAGCACGGTTGCAAACCGCTTTAAGGGAGCTGGCAGATTGCAAGGCAGAAAAGGGGTTAATAACCCGGAGTTGGCTGACTTTACAAGATGAAAATCGGTCAACAAATAAGCGCCTGACAGCTTGTGAGGAGAATTTAGCTACAGCTACAGAATGGATTTCTGTAATGGAGCGAGCTGATCCGAGAATCGAACAGGGTCAGCTACAACCGCCCCAGACAGATGCTGTTGCATCTCCTCCCCTTAGCCCCGTTTCAACACCCCCAACCCGGGGGATAAGGACGGGTCTGCACCCACCTGCACCTCTTCCTCCTGACGCCAGGCAGTCAACTCCACCCCCATCTCAGGTGGGGTTCGACCTGCACCGGTATGCACCTCCTCCTCCTGACGCCAGGCAGTCAACTCCACCCCCATCTCGGAGGGTGGGGACAGACCTGCACCAATATGCACCTCCTCCTACCATCCCTTATCAGCCACCCCCACCCCCACCATGGGCAGTAGGGGCAGGACTTGATCAGTCTGCACCACCAGTCACACAAGTTAGACCGGTGATACAGTCTCCTTCAATGGATGACTTGCAGAAAATCTCAAAATATGTGCAACGCTTCGTTCCCGGCCCTATGGGGTCCGCAGGAACAAAAGCGTATCTCAAAGATCTGGAGTTCAGATTGAGATCTTATCCTAATGCTACGGTAGACGATAAGATAAGTCTGATACGGCTCACTTCAGACAGAGAGGTGTTCACCTTCATCGAGCGTCTCCCTGATGCGACGAGGAGGGATTACAACCTTCTGTGTGAAGCCTTGATCAGAGAGTACGACCCCTGCACGGGGCCTGCTGGTTTTCCAGCTGCTGACAAGGTCACGCAGGGTAAAACTGAACATCCAAAAGTTTATTACAAAAGAATCTTCCAAGCCTATTTTGGTAACAGAAATGAGACCGGAATGGA